GGGGGGGGGGTGGTGGGTGTGCGCATGCATGCATGCATGCAGGCAGGCAGGTGCGCAGGCGGGCAGGAGGGCAAGCAGGACACCAACACAGCAAGACACGCAGCCACGGCGGAGTTAATGGACCGAGTAAGGAAGAAAGTGGAGTACACCTACTCACATCATACAGATAAGCCAGCAGGCTGTAGGTTCATGCCACTATCAAGAGGCAGGAAGCCGCCCGACAAATGTCTATCACCGGTGGAAAACACAGAGACACAGGAATCTGAAACACAGCGGGGCCCCCGGTAGTATTACAGGCACTCATTGCAAATAGGCATCATCTATTAGGCACGACTTAAAAGGTACCGGCCAGACTTCGTTGCTTAGAAACAAAAGGCGGCGGCAAGAGGCCAAACAAGACATAAGAAGTAGAGAAAACCATGGAGGAAAAAATGAAAAATCTCAGGAGAGGAACAAAAGAGAGTTATAATTTGTAAGAAAAAGACAAAAAAAAGTAATAAGAAATAAACAAATCGTTGTGTGTGTTGTCATGTTCGAGGTACACAACTCCACAAGAACAAGACATGACAGAAACAGTAATAAAAAAACAAGTAAAAAAAAAAAAAATCATTGTGTGTGTCTGTGTCTGAGGGCCTCTTTTTGTCTCGGCCTCTGTGTTATAGACTGTCGCCAGTGCAAAATCCCTTTTCCACCCAGATGAGGTTTGTTTTTTTTTTTTTTTTTTTTTTTTTTTTTTTTTTTTTTTTTTGATTTTTTTTTTTTTTTTTTTTTTTTTTTTTTTTTTTTTTTAATTTCAACTTCTCTCAAGATTGGGACCACCGTACCTCATAATCTTCTCATCAAGGAATATAATACTATTGTCTTCATCCGAATACGACGTACAGTCATTATAGCTGTATCTGGCCCCACTTCGAGTTTAGATGGAACGATAATGACCGCACGTTTTATTCGGGTTCACCCGGTAGTTCTTTCCTAAATGTATCTGACCTCAATTACAGCCCGACCTTGATGAATCTGCCTGCAATAACGTCCAGAGAAGAGTAGAAGAAGTCCTGCCATTCGAATGAATGCCCTGCGAAATGCAAAGATGACCACATCTGTGAACCTGAGCATGGAATTTATACCCACTCGTTTGTTTCCTTTTTTTTTTGTTTTTTTACAAACCAAAAAAAAGGGCGATTGCCTTGTCAGATTATCATCGGAGTGACCGGCCCTAGGTAATTTGGAATTCTACGTGCAGTATTTCACTCATCTGGATTCGAACTCACGTGTGTATTTCGACAGCTCAGGGGTGTACCAACTGAGCTACGGCAGTTGGTCCCGTTTGCTTTTCAGTATGTCCATTCGGTTTTTTTTTTTTTTTTTTTTTTTTTTTTTTTTTTTTTTTTTTTTGTGTGTGTGTGTGTGTGTGTGTGTGTGCATGGATGCCGCTGCCACTGCAGCTGCTGCATATGCCGGAGCGGATGGTCCACACGCTGCGTCAGACGAAGCAGCTGCAGTCGCTGCATGTGCAGCAGTTGTTGACTGCAGCAGCGGGCCCTCCATTTGAACTCCCCAAGCAATCCAACCCCCCAACACCCCACCAGCACTTCTTGACACTGTTCATGATGTTTTTTTTTCGTTTTTGGTCAGAACAGCCTGAAATATTTTTTGGGGGGGTCCCTAGTGATGCGCAGACCTCCCCCGTTTTTTTTTTTTTGGCAAAAAAACCGTTGTCCGGAATCCCGGACAACTCCCCCCTGACCGTCTCCCGGAGACGTCCAGGGCAGACGTCTCCCCATCGGACAGCTAGGAGCCTAGAAAAAAAGGGGGAAAAAAAGATTGAAAACAGTGAAAACACTACCTTGCTGTTCTTCTGAACAGGGCATAAATGGCTGTCACCGGAACTCGTCTGTACGTGAGGAGTCATCATGGTAAACAGCCGACTCTTTTTTCTCATTTGAATGATGAATGAACAGATTGTTTTCAAAACCTGGAAAGTGTGGCCTATGTCGACACGATAACAACCGCAATTTGAGCGAGCGAGCGAGCGAGAGAGAGAGAGAGAGAGAGAGAGAGAGAGAGAGAGAGATTTGATTGAATTTATTATTCAGTCACTGTGGACTGGTGCACTTTCTCTTTTCTGATTTCGTGGAGACATCGCAATCGCGTGTTTGTTCTCTTGTGATGATTGCATCATTACACTTTCTTTTCCTTTGTTTTTTTTTTTTCTTTTTCTTTTTGCAGGGTGATCGATGGATACGGCAGGGTGGGCAACCTGGTGAAGATGGAGTCATGTCTGGAAACGCTTGAGAAGGAAGGGCTGCAGCCCGATTGCACGACGTTCACGGCGATGATTCACGCTTACGGCCGGCGGAACATGTTTGGGGAGATGAAGAAATGCTGGAACGGAATGCTTGAGAGCGATTGCAAAACCTGCATTCCCGGGTACAGTGCAGTGATTGACACGTACGGCAAAGCAGGGAGGGTCAGTGAGGCGGAGGCCGTTGTGGAGAAGATGTCCGCCCTCGGGGTCCCTCCCTCTGTCGTGACATGGACGTCCCTTATCGATGCGTACTGCCGTGCTGGACAGTACGACAAGGTGGGTCCGGCTTTTGAACAGATGCTTCGCGACGGTTGTCGGGGCAACCTGCTCACGGCGACCTCGTTGATTGCTGGGCTTTGTGGGTGTGAAGATCTTGGCGAAGCTCAGCCGTTGATGCAGTGCCTGAGCAGATGCCAGGAAGAAGGAATGTATGTCCCTCTGATGCACCTCCTGATACTCAAGGGCGTCGTATCGGAGAAAGCGGGCGAGATTGACAAGATGTGGATGGCAGTTGATCACCTGCTTGCCAGATTAGGAAAGAGCGAGCCTGTTGAGTGGCTGCAAGCATTGTTCAGCACGTTGACGGAAGGGCTGTGGACCTTCGGATGGGCCGGTCGGTCGCAGAGGGTCGTGAAGTTTGCGCTGCGGAGGGGCATTTATCCTCAGCTGGGTTGCAGCAATGGTGAGTGGACGGTCGATCTTCACTCCATGTCCGTTGGCGCCGCAGTGCCGACCCTCTTCCTATGGCTTAACGAGGTCCGCGAATGGGCCCTCGCAAGTCGTCGCGCACATCCCGAACTGGAAGCGGACGAGAAGTCCCGACATGGAATCGAACAATTCATCATTATTACAGGTTGGGGCCGGCACAGCTGGAAAGAGGGGGAGTCTAGGATTCGAACGGCAGTGGAAGCGAAGCTAGAGCAGATGGGTTCGCCGTTCACTGTGGTCGGCGGCAATCATGGGAGGCTGGTTGCCGAGCCGGAGAAGCTCCGCGCATGGGTGCTTCAGCGGAGGGACGAGCTCGACAAATGGCTGCATCTACAGGATGCAGAGGACGCAGGACCTCCGTGGTAGAGCGCATTTTCTCCTGTTGACGGGCATCACAAGGTGAGAGGCGACTTGTGCCTCTTTGGATATTCTTTTTGTTTTGGCTTGTTTCCCCTCTGGATATTACACTACTTGAAAAATTGGAAGTCAACTGAAATGATCCTGTGACTGATTCTGTGAGGTGTGAACTTGGTCGACGTCCGTTTGTGGCAGATTTTCTGTCGGTTCCTGCCACATTGTCATTTGTTCTCTTGGTGCCGGTCCATTGTCAGTTTTGTTGTAGAGCATCAGCAAACGGCTACAGATGGATTTTTCAGTTTTAACCCAATAACCTGTCCTTAGCGAGCACTTTAATAGCACTAAAAGGGGGGGGTGGGGGGGGGAGAGGATGGGGGAGTATTTATGAATTCTCCTCCCATAGAGAGCCATCCTATACTGAGATGGGAAAATGAGCATCATCAGAGGTGCTGTTTTCCATAAGCTGTTGCGGGAAGTGAGTCTTTGACTCTGTGTAGAACCATTCTATGGAAGCAGGGTTTTCTCTAGCTCCATCGTATCGGGGTTTTCAGATCACAAGAGCGACCAACCACCTCTTTGCTGTGCTTTTTTTTTTTTTTTTTTTTTTTTTTTTCCCCTATCCACGTCTTATAACCTTGGTGGTAGAGGAATTCCAGCAAATCTTCGATGCTAGATGTTTTGTCAAAAAGGGAAAAAAAAAAAGGGGCAACTATGGTGGCAATCACGTTTTCAGTTTTAAATGCACTTCCGGCATCCCTCCAATACAACGCATCCGCACCCAACCCTAAAGCTGGGTTGTATACATTCACAATTTTCCTCGCTTTGGAGCAACATTCACGAAATCATGCCTCCACGACATTTCAAACTGAAAACCATGACTGCGCCCTAGTTTTCCCAAGAAAAGAAATAGAAAACATTTTTTCGAAGAGACCGAGAGAGTTTTCCGACTTGTCGAAAACGGAAGAAAACAGGAAAAAAGAAAACCTTTTTTAAAGTTTTTTTCGAACAGTGCCACATTTCAGAAGTATGCTGCAAAAGGGTGGCATGAAGTTTGAGAGGCCTGTTCTTTCTATACCCCCCCCCCCCCCCCCCCCCCCCCCCCCCCCCCCCCCCCCCCCCCCCCC